TGACGTCCATCACGTGGAACCCAGACGGCAAGGTCGTCTACGAGTCCATCTCGCCGCCTGTCGACCGCTTCGAGGGCAACACCAAGGGGGCCGGTGCCGTGTTCGGCCTCCTCGCCGGCGCCGGCCTGCAGCTCCCTGCGAGCGTCGGAGACCCGGCGCGAATCTTAGCAGCGAGAATGCCGAGTGCCACCCTCATGCACGTGTCTCACTCTACTGCCCATCAGCACTCGCTCGCACTCGCGCCGCGTTGACATGAGAGACCCTCCGTCTCGCGGCGACTGCAGGCCCTCATCGCGCAGCAAAAGCTCAACACAGACGTGTTCCGCGGCGCACTGGGCAAGACGTGGTCAGGCGAGGCCGAGGTGCCCGCGTGGTGGAAGAGCACCTCCAAGGGCGCCGAACCGAACGACAGGTAGTGCACCGCGCCACTTTTTCTGTACAGCGGAAAAGTTCTTTTCCGTATACACGGCTCGGCTTACGTACATTCCCGTAGGAGGACCTCTCTGCTCGTGAGGGATTGCGAGAGAGATGGGCCCAGGTAGGAGGCTCCACGCCACCTGACTCGCGTCGTGCCACCTGACTCTCGCCTGGAGAGGCCTCTTAGCCGAGGCACACGTGGCAATCGCCACGTGCGCCACCAGGGATTTCGGCCATTTTAGAGCCTTTTGCACAAAAATGCAGGTGGCTTCAGCCACTTGCTCCGTGAGCAAAACTGTCCAAAAAGCACCTGGAGCAGATGGCTTACGCCGCCTGTGGACATGGGCAAAACAGTGCAAAAAGCACCTGGAGCAGATGGCTTACGCCGCCTGTGGCCATGGGCAAAACAGTGCAAAAAGCACCTGGAGCAGACGGCTTACGCCGCCTGTGGCCATGGGCAAAACAGTGCAAAAAGCACCTGGAGTAGATTCCAAACGCCGCCTGTGGCCATGTGAGCGCTCGGGTGGCGCCAAGGGCTTCGGCCCCCTCCAAGCCACCTGCCCCGCCCCCCTCGCCACACGTGGAGGGCTGGAGCACGTGCGCCACCTGGCTGGGCCTGCCTGGGCAGGTGGCAACAGGTGGCTTCGGCCCCTCCAAGCCACCTGCCCCCCCTCCCTCGCCACACGTGGAGGGCTGGAGCACGTGCGCCACCTGGGCCTGGGCAGGTGGCGCCAGGTGGCTTCGGCCCCTCCAAGCCACCTGCATGCCCCCCCTCGCCACACGTGGAGGGCTGGAGCACGTGCGCCACCTGGGCCCGATGGGTGGGCAGGTGGCGCCAGGTGGCTTCGGCCCCTCCAAGCCACCTGCATGCCCCCCCTCGCCACACCTGGAGGGCCGGAGCACGTGCGCCACCTGGCGCAAGTTTGAATTCGGAAACGGAAAATCCGAGCCACGGAAGGGCTGGCCTGCCAAACGCGAGCCTCCCCGCTCCTCCCCGCGCTGCAAACTGGGACTGTGGGGTGTGTGAATGAGGGCCTGCGGCGGTCATCGGCGGCTACAATCAATGTCCGGCGTCGACATAAGCCTGGGGCTTCAACCCGGCCGTGCGGGCGTTTGGTGTGGCTGCAAACGCCGCAGGAGCCGGTGGCTGCGCTGCTCACGCGCCGTTGCTGCCGACGCTGAGCAGTCTGACTCGCCAATGAGAAGACTGCCCGATAATACGCCATCACTTGATCCCCGATAAACCAGGCCATGCAGAGCTTTGTCGGCCTCGCCGACGTCGCTCCAGTCCACCTCCGAAGGGGACCGCAGAGGGCGCCACGCGAGCGGCTGCGGCAATCCAGCGGTCCATCCTTGCGACGAAACGTCGGGGGGGGGCGAGTCCGACGACATCGATGCGCCGGCGATCGGCGGCGAGTTGGATGAGTGGGATCCAAAGCTGAAGCGCGACTCGCTCCATAGACCATGGGCCCAGGTAGGAGGCTCCACGCCACTTGACTCGCGTGGTGCCACCTGAAAGCCACAAAATGCCGGATTTTGCACGAGACACACGCGGAAAGCGCCACGTGCCTCCACGAGTCCTTTGCAGCTTTTTGCACAAAATGCAGGTGGCTTCAGCCACTCTGCTCCATGAGCAAAACAGTCCAAAAAGCACCTGGAGCAGATGGCTTACGCCGCCTGTGGACATGGACAAAACAGTGCAAAAAGCACCTGGAGCAGATGGCTTACGCCGCCTGTGGACATGGACAAAACAGTGCAAAAAGCACCTGGAGCAGATGGCTTACGCCGCCTGTGGCCATGGGTAAACAGTGCAAAAAGCACCTGGAGTAGATTCCAAACGCCGCCTGTGGCCATGTGACCGCTCGGGTGGCGCCAGGTGGCTTCGCCCCCCTCCAAGCCACCTGCCCTCCCTCGCCACACCTGCCTGGAGGGCTGGAGCACGTGCGCCACCTGGGCCCGGGCAGGTGGCTCCAGGTGGCCTCGCCCTCGGCCCCTCCAAGCCACCTGCATGCCCCCCCTCGCCACACCTGGAGGGCTGGAGCACGTGCGCCACCTGGGCGTCACTTCGGGAATTTCATCGTGCGTGTTCTTTTGAATAGGAATGTACTATACACCGCCTCGGCACCACGAGCCGCCCCCGCCGCGCCTCCACAATCCACTCTCGCAACTCTACCGCGCAGCCAGCACACGACGTCGGCGAGGCCGACAAAGCTCTGCATGGCCTGGTTTATCGGGGATCGAGAGATGGCGTATTATTGGGCAGTAGAGCACTGCCCGGGGTCGACGTCGGCGTACGGCCGCTTCATCTGCTGGCCCCACCCGCCCATCTCTGAGGGCGGAACCGACATCGGCGGCGGCACCGGCACCGACATCAGCCCAGGCAGGCCGCCACCGCCGCCGCCCGGCCCGCCGCCGCCCGGCCCGCCGCCGCCGCCGTAAGCGCCGCCGTGGCCGCCTCCGTGGCCGCCTCCGCCCCCGCCCCCGCCGCTCGCCTGCATGGCCATTGCGCTCCTGTGCGCCTGCACCTCGCTGCGGGATGCGGTGCAGTTGGTTGCGATGTGGCCGCGGCCGCCGCACTTGTGGCAGATGTTCTGCGGGCACTCGTTGATGTAGTGGTCCACCTGCGGCGGGCGGAGGGCGGGTGGCGGACGGCGGCATGCAGAGGCAGGGAGGCCGTGGGGGAGGGGGGGGGGGGGTCCGGGCGCGCCTCGCCGCACTTGGCGCACTTGTACCCCGGCGGCGGCCGCCGGCCGCTGGGGCGCGGTGGCCCCTGCCCGCCGCGACCAGCGAGCATCCCTCCCATCCCGGGGAAGCCGCCGCCGCCGCCGCCGCCGCCGCCGCCGCCACCGCCGCTGCCCGCGCCGACCGCGTTCGCGCCTCCGGTGAGCGGCGTCAGGTTTGCCATCGAGGCGGCGCCGCTGTGCGGGGCATGCCGGTCGCGGCCGGCGCGCAACGGGTGGCCAAGCAGGCAGTTCTCGTCCTCGCAGGAGCAGTTGCGGCTGTGCTCCCCCTCCGCGCCGTGGTGCCGCGAGCACGAGAGCTTGAAGCGGCACGACCTGCCGTAACGGCACGCCTCGGGCGGCTTGAAGCGCGAGAGGTCCTGCTGAGGCCGCGCCGCCAGTGCCGCCTCGATGGCCCCCGGCGGGGGGGGCACCACCGCGGGGACGTCGTGCCAGAAGCCGAGGTAAAAGTGCCCCTCGAACCACGCCGCCTCGCCCGTGAGCGGCTCGTTGCTCGCGGCGATGCTCGCGAGCGCCCTGGCTGCCTTGCTGCGAGCCGCCTCGGCCGACAGCACGCCGTTGCCTGGCGCGCCCGGCGGCGCGCCGGGCGCGGGACCGCCCGCAGCGGGCGGTGGGATGGGCAGCATATATATGTTTGTGTATGTGTGTGTATGCCACGCCTGCTATTCACAGCCTTGTTATTGAGAAGACTAGTGTGGGACCTGCGGCGGTACCCGTCTCTGTTGTTCGGGCAGTGAGAGACGCAGGATCTGCACGCCAAAGTGGGCCACTCCGCATTTGCATTTTGGTTTTGGGTTGTCGGAGATCATCCATCAGCTCTCATGTCTCATCACAGTCAGTCACGTCAGTCAGGCGTACGAGCCGACGACGGCGGACGGTGCAATGCGCAGGGGCGGCCACTGCCTCCGCGCGGTCGACGCCGCCGCACGGGGCTGCGTTTTTCGAGCGCAGCGCTCCCAATCGTTGCGGGGGCGACCCCTCCCCAAAACGCTGCTCAAAGGGGTGCGGCCGCTTTTCGAGTCCAACGCTCGAAATCGCTGCGCCCTGTTGGCTGCCACTTTTTCAGTTCCTCGGCTCCGCACGCAGAGCTGGATCACGTCGTCGTCGATCGCAGCCGTACCTGTACCTGTACCTGGTGCAGTGGGTTGCGGGCATTAAGAAAACAGGATTGCGCGGCACGCCGCCGTTTCGTCTAAGCCTTTCCACACACCCCTCACCAACCCCACGCCGTGGTTTCTTAGCTCCCAGGTCAAAGGTCAGAGCCGGCCCTAAGGATTTTTAGGGAGAAGAGGTAAGCTGCGGTCCTCCCGGATCCGATCCCCAGCCAGTCACCTCTCAGTCAGTACGAGTCTGCCACCGACTCAAGACACACACGGACACGCCTCCATCCACACCGCTCACTCAGAACACCGCCGGACACCGCAGACTTGCCGGACACCAGAGGTACGTGCAAAATTCTTGGTGTGCCTGTGATCGCCGTACTGGGTGAGAACGGCGTTCTCTGGTAAGCTCAGCTGTGAACTTCCCAGTGGTTTGCCGCTCTTGCTTGCGCGTGACCTCTTGCGTGCACGCCCAAGCTCGAGCGGCATCACGCAGAGCGAGCTCTGCGCAGGTCCCGCGACCTTCTCGGGCAGGAGCCCACCTCTCCTTCCCTCCGTGCGCCCAACGATATGGGCAAATCCGCGCCAAAGCCTTTCGCAAAGCGCGCTTCCGACGCTGACCAAGACGTACGGCCCGCAGAGGCAAAGGATGGATCTGGGCCGGAGCCCCCTCCCTCGGGGGCTGGCGGGGGCACCGACGGGGCCCCAGCCGCGCCTCCCGCTCCTGTGGACTCGGCCGAGGAGCTGCGAGTGCTTCGCAAGCAGCTCGAGCGGCTCGAGGCTCAAGCCGCCCAGCTCGCACCCGACGGGGAGGACCCCCCACCGGGAGGCGGCGGTGGCGGCGGCGACGGCGGCGGAGCGGGCGGCAAGGCGGCCAAGGACCGCGAGAGGGTGCCCACGACCCTCCCACCCCCCCAGACTCCGACGCCGACTCGTCGGAGGACGACGTGGGGTTCACCAGCGCTCGCTTGTGTCAGTCACACTCCTGCTGCCACTGCTCCTCGTCGCTGCCATGCCTAGCAGCGACTTGCCCACCCTGCGCATCATCAAGGCCGATCAGCTGCCAGCCTCCTGCTTCGAGCCGGTCGACCCGCAGGCGCGCGAGCAGGCGCTCGCGATGATCGAGGACGTAAAGGCAAACAAAGAAGACGGCCTGCTCAAGCACGCGTGGCGGCTCGGCGACCTGCCCAGTGGCGACCGCAAGTACACCGTCACGCGTGACGAGCTTCGCGCCGCCTTCGAGGCGGCGGAGCCGTCGCTGCAGGGCCTGCTCGAGCGGGTCGCGGCGCGAGTGCGCACGTTTGCAGAGGCGCAGCGGGCCAGCATCACGACGGTGAGCACGGAGATCGAGGGTGGCGCGGCGGGTCAGCAGGTCGTCCCCGTGAGCAGCGCGGGTTGCTACGCGCCCGGAGGCCGCTACCCGCTCCCCTCGTCCGTCATCATGACGGCCGTGACTGCGCGCGCGGCCGGTGTCGGGCGAGTCGTGGTCGCCTCGCCGCGCCCGTCGCCGGTGACGCTCGCCGCGGCGTACGTGGCGGGCGCCGACCTGCTCCTCGCCGTCGGCGGCGCGCACGCCGTCGCAGCCCTCGCCTACGGCCTCGGCGACGCGCTCGCCCCCGTCGACCTCATCTGCGGGCCGGGCAACAAGTGGGTGACGGCCGCAAAGTCAATCGTCTCTGGCTTCTGCGGGATCGACATGCTGGCTGGGCCGTCGGAGGTGCTCGTGATCGCGGACGCGTCCGCCGACCCGCAGGTGGTCGCCGCGGACTTGCTCGCGCAGGCGGAGCACGACGTGGAGGCGCGTCCGATCCTCGTGACGCCCGACGCGGCCGTCATCGCCTCTGTCAACCGCGCGCTGCAGTCGCAGCTGGAGACGCTGACGACGAGCGAGGTTGCCATCCCAGCGGTGCAGAAGGGGTTCGCCGTGCTGGTGGGCGACATCGCCGAGGCAGTCCGCGTCTCGGACCGCATCGCGCCCGAGCACCTCGAGATCCAGACCGCCGACGCGCAGGCGGTCGGAGAGAGCTGCGCAAACTACGGCGGGCTCTTCATCGGCGCGCACGCGGCGGAGGTGCTCGGCGACTACGGCGCCGGCCCCAACCACGTGCTGCCGACGGCGGGCACCGGAAAGTACACGGGCGGCCTCTCCGTCCACACCTTTCTGAGGCAGCGCACCTGGATGCGGATCGACGACCTTGTGGCGGCGCAGCGGCAGGTGGAGGACTCGGTGGCGCTGGCGAGGCTCGAGGGGCTCGAGGGGCACGCGCGCGCTGCGGAGCGGCGGCTGATCGCCGACGGGGGCGCGGGCAAGAAGCAGCGCGCGGCATGATGAGCTTGAAATAAGGTGCTCCGCACCCGGGCGCGTGCGGCGGCGCGGGCGGGCCGGTGTGCGGTGAGCGGTGTTGCCAGTGTTGGGGAGACGAGGGGAGGGGGCGCGCGGGCGCGAGTGGTGAGCCTGCGTCGGCGACCGTCCGTGACACCGGCCCGATCCATCTGAATTTGTTTCTTAAATCGCGTTGTTTCGACGCGAAAGCACATATCCTCCTCGCGCACCTCGGTCGGTCTGCTCGCAACCGCGAACCGCGAACCGCGAACCGGGTCCCGCTGGGTCGCTCTCGGTCTCAAAACGCACACCCGACAGCGACACCGGCGGTCGGCGGTGTGGAGTGTGGTGCCCCCGCCGCTGCGCCGTGTCGAGCCGCTGTGCGTGGGCGTGCTGCCCGCCGCCGGGGGCTCCCTGGGCTGGAATAAAGCGCCGGTGCGGACGCGTACGGGGGTGCAGAAGAAGCCGGGAAACAAAGGCGTCGTGCAGCGCGCTGGCCGCCGCCTCGCGCGAGGCCAAGTCAGCCGACCCGGAAGCCGGCCGCCGCTAGCATCGCCGCCTTCTCGGCGGCGGCGGCTGCGGCTGCGGCGGCTGCGGCGTCGGCGGCGATTTTGATCGAGGCTTGCGCCTTCTGGAGGGCGATCGCCTTGTCGTGCGCGCCGCTCGAGATTGCCTCGTCGCGGTGCCGGCGCAGCATGCGGATCTCCGAGCGGGAGAGCGGCGCGGGTGGCGGCGCCGCCGTGAACCAAGCGTGGTGCAGCGCGGAGGGCGCTGTCGCGCGCTGCTCCGGGTCGGGGGTGAGGAGGGAGTCGAGGAGGTCGAACCCCTCGTTGTTACCGCTCGCCCGTGGTGCGGTGGTGCGCCA